GCTGAAACGGACTAGCAACAAAAAAACACATGAACCTCGACCTTCCTTGACCTCTCTTGCTGACAAGCCCAAAACATGGTCCTACTCTTCCACCCAAGTAAAATCACACAGCATCGCCCCGTCTAAAAACCTACACATCTGTGTGTGTGTGCGTGCTTACGAATATCCGCTGCCCCCCCTGAAAGGTCAACCCTTTCGTGCCTGTTTTGTGAGCATCAGAGTGTCTTCTAGATATGAGACACGTCAGCAGGCATGTTGAAAAACATGGTCACGATGAAAGGGTGTGCAAGAGATGGAGTTTGTTACGGTAAATGAAGGTTGTTTCTTGTGGATGTGAGATGCGAATCATTCATTGCTGCTCCAGATGTGTTGAATTCGTCATCAGTTTGCCAATGAGTTCCAGAACTTTATCTCCGGTCTTCTTCATTCTGGGTTCATTGCCATAAAAATAATTCCATATAATTATCCAACGCCCACTTTTGATGTAGCGCTTTACCTTGATGACTTCTTCAAATGTGGCAACGTTCTTCATGGCATGTTGGGGGGCCGGTGAGCCATTGCAAACATTGTCAAACGGTTCCTCTTGCAAAATTTATTCCAAGTAGCACCTGGATCCAGATCTATTTAAAAAAATACTCTTGAATCCAGAGTCTCTCCTAGTCCGAGCTCCTGGATGCAAGAACTGTCTTAAGGTCTTGAATCATGAATATCTGGTTTGCAAACTGTTGAATGTTTCCTGACTTCTAGAATGTACGCACTGTAGATGTACAGAGATTACATACATGGCCAATGGTGCCCACAGATTATATACGCTTGATCCTACGCGGCGACGCGTCTCCAGCCTCCAGTTGGGTGGTGAGCTGAAAGCTCTTCGGTGCGCCGTGCGCATCGACCTGCACGTTCATCGATGGCCGACGAGGCGTTCTTTGGTGCATTTGGGAGGTGATGAAAGCGGTTTCTGAGGCTATATCAGTTTGTTGCATCATTGTTTGGCTCCCATTCAGAGGAGGAACACAGGTTCCAACACACCCTCACACTGGTTTATGAGTCTATGCCCTTTAGCGTCACGAAATCTGGGGACGTTGTCACACGGCTGTCACACCTTCGCCGACTCGACGGACCCGAGGCCGTCGCCCAAACCATCACCTCTTGAGTTCGATCCAAACAGAAAGGCGAACCGAATTTGTTTCTAGTGACAAACAACCACTTTTAACATCGGTGGGATTTTTTTCAACATGTTGCCCTGGCAAGGGATGTTTTGAGCGTAAAGCCAAAAACATTGCAACAATGCAACTTTAAAATTCTAAGTCATGAGTTAGAACATTGAGGACAATTGTTTTTTAGAACTTTATCAATAAGGGGTATGAACATGAGAGAATGCACAGTTGATGAATACACGTTGTGGAGATGCGCTTGTCTGCAGACTTTCGGTTGCACGCTGCATGCTTAACAATGATGTTCTAAGTAAGGGTTGATGTTCTAAGGAACGGGTCTTTGAGCATGTTTTAACTCAATCACTTGGCACATGGCCATGTTCTAAGCATGGCTTCGGTAAAAAACATCCTTTTCTATTCCAAGTAAGGGTTACCGGCTTTGGAAACTTTCTCTGTTCTAAGTGGCTGTCCGTCACTATAGGGGTTTCCTCCAACCCCAATAGGCTCAAGGTTGTCAACTTTTCCTGACACATGTGTGGCGCCTCTTGCAAACAGAGTCAAAAAAGTGACCCAAAAAAACATGGCCTCCATTGAAGAATGGGACGCCCCATGGCGCAACCCCGATCTCCTCAAGCGATGCGTCAACGCCTCAGCCAATGTTCACGTGCTGAAAGAAAGGCCGGAGATCCGAGTCCTTTTTGGTGAAGCCTTCCTACAAAAAAACCAAAAACACCGCATATTGTTCAATTCTCTCCTTCCCCGATGATGTGGCCACAGGCTTGGAAGCTTCCACACCTCCAGGCCTGGACGCTTCGAAGCTTCGACGTTTGGCAGCTTGGCACCGCTTTGCGGCTTCGAAGCTGACACCAGGTTGGCGGCAGCAAAAACGTCTCTGCTGCTGCGAGGACGGCCTTGCCCCAACTCTGTCCGTCCCCCTTCTGCGCTGGCAAGGACCAGGTCGTGGGCCGGTGTGAGGTCGAAGATGATGAGGTGGTGTTTTCCGCTACGTGGAAGCCTGGCTCCTGCAGTTCATCTTGCTGGCAGTCGGCCAGTTCATCATCATCTTCCTCTGCACAGGCCTGTTCAAAGTCACGCGCGCCGTTATACGCTTCATAGAGCTATTCACAGGCGCCGTCCTCGTCGTCCTCATAGTTGGGCCATGGACTGCGCCCGCCCTTTCCGACATGTTGAGCAAGGCCAACGCGTCCTCGATAGTCTGGACACACTGCGGCTGCACAAGCTGCTTTTGCTCCTGAGTGTCGGAGGAGCCATCCCGTCACCTCAGAAGGCAGCTTGATGTTGCGCCTCATGAAGTGAGTGCTTGCTCTCCTCAACAGGAGAGGTTGAAGGCCTGTGGCTGCTCCACTTGATCATCATATTTGAAGGCGCGGTCGTGGACTTGGTGCAAGTGAATCTGGGATCGCCGCCCCCGGTAGTCTGCAAGTCAATTGCTGAAAGTCGGCACCCCAGATTCTTTTGTCGAGTCTGTGGTGGCTTGTGATGAAGACGCAATCCTCGATGTCAATCTCGTAGCCACGGCTAGCGGGGCACCGGAGCGATGGCGCTCCACTACCATTTTTTCACATAGCAACTGGTGTGAGACAAGTTGGAACTACGTGGAAGGGCCTCACGAAGTGTCCTTCCCAAAAGCAAAGCGCAGCGCGACCTTGTCGCACTCAAGTAGCCATGTGGCGCGTCAGGCGCGCACGATCCCACCCATCTAGGTGGAAGGTTGAAAAAGGAAGGGCGGTTTGGGCCCAGATGTGATACTTAACACTCAATGTCTTGCACAAATGTACTCGTACAGTACCTTCCAAAGGACTCACCACCCATCAAGCCCCCTTCAGAAGGTTCGAATTCGCTACGGGCCTTTGATGAACCCCTTGCCCAAGCAAGCAACAACACAAACTGTGATGTCCGAATGAAGTCAAGTGTCGGTGGTGTGATCAGCAGAATGTCCAGCGTGAAATTCCAGTCCATTCCTGACCTGCCACAAAAACGAAGCCATGATCGATGATCGTGGTCATTTCTGAGGCCGTCTAGGGATCCACGGGGTGTGCCACGTGAGACCGGTGCTTTCATGGTGCCTCAGCAGCAACCTTTCATGGTTCGTGGTGATCCATGGTAAAGGAATGACATCGATGGATCAAAGCAAAAACCTGTCTGCAACCAGAATTCGCAGTTTCAGCGCTGTGTAGATCATGAGATCATGTTCCTTCCATGCACAGTATATCAGAAGGGCTTGAAGGACCCTGACATCGTGAGCGAAGTTGATCCAAGTTGTGGCCTCCGCCGACACTCGAGCGTACATGAGCATGTTCGTCCTTTGCAGACGCATTCATTTTGGACAAGCACTGCTACTGACCGAGAATGATGATTCCTTTTATAGATACCTTGGATCGGTGTGATCTCAATTGATTGTTGCACGCAATTGAAATAGTCCAGATCCTTCCAGATGGTATGCAAAACAGGCGGGCCATGGTCAACAAGCTATTCTATATATACAGGGGAGAGTATTGGCAATGCTCAAGACCAGAAGCCAATGCCGCCTGACTTCCAACCAAAACTTGCTGGGGAGGGACAGGCTCCAGGCGCTAGAAGAACAAACCAAAGTCAGGGAAGGTCAGAAACCGGTCCAACCGCCAGTCCCTTAGTCCCTGCGAGCGAACCACGGGTGTCTCACACCTCAATGCCGTCGCTGCTCTTGAGCTCGATGGCCTGCGGAGGTTCGCGTTCGCGTCGAGTTCTTCAGCCCCAATCCGACGCTGGAGCTCCCATGCACAATGGATAAACACACCGCAGGGGGAGCTCCGGAAGGAAGGAAGGTGCCATGTAAAAAAAAGTAAAACCATCGCATCTGAGCGTTTTCCAAGGTCCATCGGAGTCCATCACCACTTGCACGCTACAGAAGTGCCCCCCGCTGGCTCCATCCGAAACAACGGTCCACCGACCCGGGCAGAGCGGTCCGCGCGCCCACCCAGCACGTCCCGACCGAGCCGGCTCGGCTCGCCCACGGCTCGTCGCCTTGGAGGAGGCAAGTAGCCTTGGAGCCCGAGGGCCATCGTGGAGGGTTCCACCCGGGCGGGTTCCACCCAGGCGGGTTCTTCCACTTGGATTTTGAATGATGATATGGTTCAATCACACACTGCGGTCCTATCAGAAACAAAAATTCATGAAATGCTCAAGCACCAAATCACAGCCAAGAAGCCAGAGAAGCACGAGCGGAGGCAAGTTGCCTTGACTGTCCCACGGATGTTCATCAAAAAAAGGTTTTTACGCAGTGCTGGTTTCTTTCACACCCGCAGTGCTTGCTGAGCCCGATTCTCCAAATGAAACAGGTGGCCATCGACTGTGACCGATCCTAGTTGACCTACTAGTGACCGATCTCATACTACATGCCTCCGACCACCTGAGACGCCGACAGTTGACCCTTTCAACAGGCACACAGTCCATCGAAAAGACGTCACCCACACAAGTCCTGCCTACCAAATGCATGTAGCCCACATGGCGTGCCAGGAGAGGAAACACCTTGCAGCGGACGACGACCCAGCCCATGGATTTCGCCATCGAATTGATTCAAAGCCCTGGAGCAGTCACTAAAGTCTCTCTGCGCGCGTCCTCTGGGTGGCCGCACCATGTGAGGTGGGCCTCTAATTGAAGGACACAGGGGGGACCCGAAAATCTCTCGGGGCCCCCTTTTGAGCCGACAGAAGCCACGGTCATCACGGTCAGCATGGCTGAAACGTGGTCCCCACTGGCCCCCCAATCCCGTTGGCCTCTAAATGATATGAAAACGCGTGCGTTACCAAAACACCTGCTTTCCACCGCAAGCTCTAAGGGCTTCACATGCCCTGGCCACACATCCATAAGCTCGCAGATCAGGGCCACGCCTGTGAGCCGCATCGCACAGGCACTCCAATTCAACCCCTGCCGCATCACAGTGTCACTGCAGCCTCTACACGACAGCCAACGCGCCTCCGAGACCACATCACCTCCGGACCAGTGCGGCTGGCATGTTCAAGAGGGAAGAACATCTTTACTCAAGGCTCGTCGACCCAAAAACACATGAGGTCCAAGTTGAACATCTGCAAAAACAACCCAGCTCTGGGCTCCATCTCAACGTCTCACCGTCGCGTCGCGGTGTTCTCCGCAAACCTCGACGCGTCGCCTCCAAAAGGCTCAAGCAGACCTCCCAGGTCCCAGCACCTCCACGACGGGAGCGGCGGTTTCTCGCGGCGATCCGACGAGTCTGGACTGAGGAGCCCACTTTGCACGCAGGCAAACATGGCCTGCGGGAGCAGAACATGTTACAGCACAGCTGCACACCGCATCGAAGTGATCAAGAATTGGAGAGAAAATCCATCAAGGGAAGCTTCTATCAATCAGAGAATCAAGAATGGACAGAAAATTGAAGGAATATGAGAGAAATCATCTCAAAAACCTCCAACTGTCAGTCCATCGTGGTCTTTTTCAGACCTCCTATTGGCCCGCGGTCGAACCCTTGGTGGAAAACGGTGGCCTCCGAGTAGCACTCCAGGTCTGGCGACGGTCGTCGCATGGAGGACAGCAGCCTTCAGGCCATCGCCAGTCCAGGGGAGCTATAGAATGCATGATAAATTCTAATCCATTAACATGTCCATTTGGGAAGATGGCCATATAGCCCATAGCCTTCCCTTATCCTTTCAGCTCCGCAAAAGCCGCTGGAACACTTGAAGCGTTTGAACTTCCTTTGTTCCTGCCACACGTGTTAGGGCAAACAGACTCTGGTTCAGATTCGGTCACATTCAATTATAATTAGATGCTTAGTGTTCTAACTCCAGACTCCAAACTTGTTCCTGTTCAAATCCCTTAGTCTTCTGGCCGAGATCTCTGGTCCAGTCTTCAATCCATCCTATCTGGGGGTGTTGGCACTCGCCCTTCAAGTTGCCCGCCCACAAGCTCCACTCAGCCACGCCACCAGAGACAGCACTCCCATCCAGCACAAGCCACCGCAGCCTCAGCGGTAAAAAAAACCATGTGGGCTCCACCTGAAACCCTGTCATTCACTTCTGGCCAATGGCTAGGCTATGCACAGTGAAGCCTTTGCTTCAAATAGGAACTCTGGAAACATTGCCAGAGTTCCAAGATGTCCATAAGACCTCCAAAGCGATGATTTGAGGGACCTCCCAAATAAAATATCCACGTCCATCCCCACCTCGCCGGTGGTGTGACGACGACTTCAGGCCGTCTCGATTTCTGCCTCTGCAACATGGTCGGCGGGAGAAAACCCGGATCGGCCAATGGGGCCACCAGAACTCATGTTCATGAATCCAAAGATCCCCAGTCTTCCGTTGAAGAGGTGCTTCGATTGACCAACCACCAGTCACCAGGGTAGCTTGGAGGACCAAGCGAACCGCGAACCGCCAGTCGCCCTCCTATCTAGGTGCAAAAAGCGCCCGCTGAGGCCTCCAGCGATGGCAGCGCGGAAGGAACGCACCGCCACAGTCTGGGCCTCCACCGCCTGAAGTCACCACGAGGCTCCACGGCTTCCGCGCGGAAGACTTCGGCGCGGCGTGACCACCCGGGGAAAGACTCCGGAGGGCCATTCGTTTTGGAGTGCCGTCGGTGACAGGTGTGACGTCAAGGCATTGATCCAGGCTTTTCGTGCGGTGACAGGTTTTTGACACTCAGCAGCAAAAACAGGCGCTTGACACCTCTTCAGGCTCGTTGACTTCGTTTGTCTTGCACTGCTGTCTCTGAGCATCCCAAAGGTAGACAGGATGAGTCAACTAGATGTCAAATAAAACTATAAAACACTATGAGACAAGGTGGGGTGACATGAAGTAGGAGGACGTGTTTTGAAGCCAAAGTAATTCCTCTCTTTTGCCGAGGTCCCGCCTGCCCCGAGGGAATACTCATCAAAACCATCCGTCTTGTCACGCTGTTATGTCAAATTAACTCCCCTGAGCTCACGCTCCTCTCCTGGAAAACTCGTGTCGATTCTTCTCGGAACGATACTCTGGGCCACGACGCGGATCGCAAGACACGAAATCCCGCTGTCTATTTCACCAAAAGAGACAAATATATACATCTTCTCGATATGGCATCCCATCGGTATAACCTGTCAGGAGTCACTTGTGTTCTTTTCCATCACTGTAGACCATCGAAAATGAATCACTTCTATAGTCCGACTCCCACCTAACCTGATACCCTACCTTTCATCCTGAACCATGCCCAGGTGCTCATTTCATGTCGTGTCTCCTCCCTTTTCAGCCTAAACGCTCATTCCGCACCACAGCACCCCATGCACCCCATGCACCCCGCAGCGCCCAGGACCTGCGCCAGAGCATTCAAGGCCAAGGACCAGCGGCCTCCACGGCCGGCCGCCGTGATCACCTGGGCGGACGGCACGGCACTGGCGCGGTGGGGCCGATCTCGGGGAGCGTACCCTTTCGGTTGGGGAGTGGCTGCCAGTTGTTCGCCGGTGTGGGACGAAAAGACAAACGAACATTGAAAAAAAATAATTAAAGAAACATGGAAAGCTGAGATCGAAAGAATTTGGAAGGTCGGGAAATCCTGACGTTGAAGAGGGAAACCATCCAAGCCCTTGATTGCGAAGATCCTCTTGACAACCCACTGGTGCAACTGGTGCAACTGTCCCCCAAGTAGGGATGCTCAACATGTCGGGGTCCCAAAACTTGAACAGAATGGATTAGCAATAAGTTGGAGAGAATGAAATGGTCATCAAAGACTTCTCATGAATTCTCTCGTCCCGTCCCAACTGTCCAGTCTCCTTCCTCTCCTCTCCTCTCCTTCCTTCGTCCTCTGTACTGCGGCGAACATGGTCTCCGCCCAGCCACGGTGTTCTGCGCCACCGCATCCAGCTTCAAGCCTGCCTGCACGGCCTGCGACAGGTCAACCAGACGACACTCCCGCTCCTTGGGTTCGAGCACTCCCAACTCCAGGAAGGAGGGCCAGAAATGGTGAGCGGTTCGGGCGGTTCTCGGGGCGGACGGGAGATATCGTGATCCTTTTGGTGCGGACCGGAGACGGTTTTTTCAAGCTTTGCCATCCCGAGGCAACAATGGTGAACGAGCACGTTCATGTGGTGGCAACAATCATGTCTGCTCTTCCAATGGTGTCTACAGGTCTGGCGCCTCTCATCCACCAGGCCAAGCACAAAAATGGGATGTTGGGGTGACCAGACTGGTACAGAAAACCACCGTGTTGACGCCCACGTGCCACACGGGCGTCTTCGATCCCATCCGGCGACCGGTTGGGACGGTCTGGAGGCTCCGCCTGCACCAGCAGCTCCAGGGTCTTGGGCCAATGCCGCGACGCGGCGCTGCTGGCACCTGGGTGGCTCCACTGGCTCCACTGGTTCGGAGGGAGGAAGTGATCCGGATCCAAATCACGTGAGGCCGTTTTGAGGCCTTTTTCCATGTCGATGGTCACCCAGCACCGGTCACCCCAGGTTTTTGTGTTGGTCGTCTGTCATGACTCTGGTCGTCTGTTCACATCATTGAAGATGTCGGTTTGAGGTCGGAAACCTTGGCATCTTCGCTGTAAATCGTTCCCAAGTTGCGGTGGACGGCAGCTCTACCAGTCAGACTAGTCGTCGTGTTGACTTTTAATCAACAAAAAACATTATTCTTAAAAAAAAAAATAAGTAAATAAACATATCATATGGTGAATGTTTGACCATCTGACCATCCGCCAGATCCAGAGCTAATTGTCATATACTAACTTGATATTGATCGACAGTCAACAGTAGATCAAAGACATCCTCAGGGTCCCGGTGGCACCGCCGCCGCTCTACAGAACGACCGCTGCAAGACCGGCCAGGGCGCTGCTCACCAGCACGGTGCTTGGCTCCAAGCGCAAACGTTGGACCGTGTCCTACCGCGGTGCTTCACCCGTTCAGCGTTGGCTCAGCGGTGTGATCGTTCTGCCCTTTTCTCGGGCAACCCGCTCCCCATCCTGGGAGCCAACGTCGACATCACACCATGCAAAAGGTTACTCGATTGCACCCATTGACTCGAAAAGATTAATGGAATCTGACCCGGAATCAAGATCAAAAAGGTCATGATTGCATGATTCACTAACTGCTCCTTTATCGATGGCTCTCTAACCATGGATGGCCTCCCAAGTCCGATCCCTGTCCAGTAGAGCAAAGGCATGCTCCCACTGCTCCGCATCCTGATCTGGGGCAAGCGGTGTTTTTCGCTGTCCGGAAAGAGCAAGCGACATTCAAAACCCGATCGAAAAACCTCTGGCCAACTTTTAAGGAATTAAGGAACCAAACTGTCATACATCCGATGAATTGATTGCAACATATTGCAACTACAAGTTCAATATCGCAAACAAAAAGAACGCGACACTCTGACTCATCTTTGCTGTGTGCTTCACTCATTGCAAACAACAGCAGAGCGCCAGCTAATTGACATATTTCTAAGATATCTGGTTCTCGTGGGGGGCCAGACCTTGATCTTCACTGAATCTTCACTCAAATCCCAAGATGGAGGAGGCCATTGACTCAAGACACCTCCCCAGCCCACGTTCAAACCGACGAACACCACCCCCCCGACCACGCCGGCGGTGTCAGGCCTCACAGGCCGCTAGGCCGTTGTTGTGCGCAATGAGGCTCTGCTCTAAGCCTCGCACCACATGGTCGAGCCGCTGAGCGCCGCCGTCTCTGCCGCGTTTGGGGTCAGTGGGTCCCCCACCCCCCCGCCGAACCCCGCGCTATAGCGTCCCGGTCGGTCGCAGGAGGCCTCGGTCCAAGGCCTCCTGCAACAGGGCGGAGCTCCAACGCCACTGGCGGCGCGCACAGCTCACGGCGGCCTATTGGGATGGAGGAGGAGGAGGAGGAGCCTCTCATACACGCTCACTAATGATGCTTGTAGCTTCCTATCCTATCCATTCTTTTGTGGAAAAGTAAGGATATTGCAGTCTGATGAAACACCTCCGCCGGTGGGTCCCGTCAGCATGGGACAGACCTTCCGCCTTTTCCCTACGAGTTAGTTACTACCAGGACCCTCCTGGCCAGGCTGTTTGGAGACCCTAACAGGTGGTGAACCTGGGCACCTGTTGTCACCAGGAAACACCCGGCCAGGAGGGTCCAGGTAGATTGATCTGAATCCAGCCGCATCTCTCCTTCTCTCAACCCGTCCCAATATGCTTTCCCACGACAAAAGTTATTGGGGCTCGATCAAATGCTACCACAGGTCATCACTCTCACTTTGCACCAATCAATCAAGTGCCTGAGCTCCGCACTCCAAACGCCACAATGTTCAACTCAATCGCCTTGCGAATCTGAGCAAAAAAAAGGAGGTCCCTCACTTCGTCTGCATCTCTGGGTGACACCCATCCACCAGTCGTTTCCGCGGTCACCCCATCCTATAGCCGTCTCCGCCGCCTCCACGTGCGCCTCGCGCAAGAGGCCCAGCGCGGCAGCCCAGTGGTCCGTCTCCTCGACCGGATGGGCCCACCGTGCGGTTCGCGGACGACCCGAAACAGCACGCGGGGGGCGGCCGCGAAAGGGCGGTCGCTTCACCAAGCGCTTTTCGAACGTGAAAAGGACAGTGGACCATGTCAATGGGCTTTTAAGCCCCCAAAAAGTTCCTCTTTTGGGCAATCGAAGTTGATCCAAACCTTCCAATGGATCTTGAGATATCGCCTTCGAACCGCCGCGGCCGTCGGCCCGGTGACCCCCGCGACCTCCAGGGCTGAGACCACGGTGCTGACCGTCACCACATCCTGCCGGGTCGGCGGCCCGTGACCCGGTGACCGGCTCGGTTCGGCTCCGAAATGGGTCCTTCCGGACGGAAGAAAGCGGAAGGTGCGTCAGAAGCTCCACTGCACAGGGCCACCTGAAAACCAGGAAACACCCATGTGACACCTCGCCACCAAAACAAGATTCCATTTGCTGTTGGAGAAAACCTTGGCAGATCAGGTGCTGCAAAAAGCCATGAAGAATAACACGAGGATAGCGCTTCACAACCCCAAAAATGTTGTTCAAGCCAAGCCACTGAGATGCACGGCGGCAGGCTTGCAGCACCAAATTGTAACCTTGGCAGTTCATGATCAACGGCTCATCGCTTCGGATCTGACCTTTGAAGAATACCTTTTGTTCAGGACAGGACACCCAATGGCTCACTTGTCTTCAATGGCTGGTCAAGTTACGCGTCCAAACCCTGTTGGAATCCAAGAACCTCACTCACGATGTCAGGCTGAACGCGCTGTCTGCGGGAGCTGAACCTCAAGACAGCAAGACTTGCAACAGATTGACATACGTACCGCTTGAGCTGTCCTTGTGCATGTTCCAAAACCTGCAACACAACATCTGCAGCCCATGTGGCACATGCAACTGCAAAAGCCCACAAAAAGCCAAGTAAGTCTGGCACAAGAGCGTCAAGGCTTGCTTCCAGTCACCATGACGAATGCATTCCTTCAGTGCCTTGGGCTGGTTCTGTTTTGATTCGGAGCAAATCTGTGTATACATGGGGAACGAGAGGAGACCCAAGATTCATTTCTTCTGCATGGGTTTTGATTCCTCATTTAGCCACTCATCTTCTGTAAAGGCATAGGACGGTTCTAAGTCGACGGCAGCATGGCAAGAGGCAACTGTATGCAATGCCTTCGGACTTTCTGCCATGCGCCATCCACCAGAAGCGTTGCATGGCAAGAATGATGTGATCGCAGTCACAAAGCCCCCAGAAAACAAGTTGAGAACTGGTTGCTGTTCAAATCCAGGTTTTTATTGACAACGCAACCACACTGTTGCAAACACCATGTCGAAGCTCCCACACCCCAGGTCACAAAACCCGGCCGGCTGCTACGACCGGCAAACAGCAGCGACTGCTGACTTAGAGCCCTGACCGACCGGTGAAGAACACCGAAGCAAATCATCAAGATGAAGCCTTCACGGAGCTCGTTTTTACTTCTTCGTTTTCTAGAACGGCCACCTTTCCACCGCTCGCTCGCGAGCCTAGTCAGGCGATCAACGAAGACAAGCTTGGGGAGCGATCAACGAATGGCCCAAACCGTCTGCTTTTGATGGAAAAAGGTACGACATGCCACAACATGTACTGGAATCAAGCTTGTTCTCACAATGGAATTGAGTAAACATCCTTTCTCTTTCAGCAAGAAACACAGCAAAAACACAAAACAGGCGACCAATAACTCTATCATCAACCAACAGGTGCGGGCAAACGTATCCATGTAAACCTGGTGCTTCCCAAACAACATCGGCGACAGAACGGGTGCGCATGGCACTGTCGCAACTTTTCCCACACATTCGACAGCTTCAGTACGTTCACTCTGCAGTACGCACCCTAGGAAGTATTGAAAATCCGCCTAATATGGTGCGGAAGATGAGTTCCACTTGCACCTGTGTTACCATGTTTCTCTCTGCGTGTTCCAGTTTCATACACAGCCATCAATGTCTGGAAAAACGGTGATCGCCTCCACTTCTCCCCAAAACGATTTCGCATCCATGGGCCGGATCCCTTCCAGCGGCCCATCCTTTTCAACCCGATTTAATCAGGTGGAACTGGGGGGTCTGCAGGACGAATCGACCAGCTCATCGGTCGATGGAAAAAACTCATCGGCCGCACCCCAAAGGCCCTGGCTGTGATGCGAGAACTGGGCGAGCTCTCGAGAGCTCGTCCCAGATTCGTGCAGGTCCGCTTCCCGAGCGGCGGCTCAGAGGCTTTCCAGAGGCTTTCAGTTGGGCAGTTCGTTCTCAACACCTAGCCTAGGGATGCCGAGACGAATGGCCAGTGATGAGGGTTTTCCACCAAGAGTGGTGTCTTTTTATGTATAACAGAAGCTGTGGTCCAGTTGGCCGACGGTTCCTTCGCCATGTTGCGTTGGATTTCGCGACCGACAGAGCACCGGCTCGGTGCCCAACAAGGACGGCGCCCCAGGGCTGAAAAAACGATGACTCCAAGCTCCACCAAGGTCCACCAAGCTCCACCCACTCTTTCGATACTCAAGGCTTTCTTTGAAAAGTCCTATGGATGGGGAGAAGAAACAAGAAATTGTCATGGACCTGGAGCGCTGTTGATGGTGGCCTCAAATTGAAGGGACCTTCAGCCTGCTGTTGTGAATGAAAAACACCTCTGACCCCATCCCTCCATCAAGGTCTTTCACACACAATCGGCACGTTCCAAAGACACAGATGGGTCTTGATGTTTGCTCAAGCCCACAAGCAAACGCAGGCTATAATTCGCCTGACTCATCTGTGCACACCAGCTGTACTTCCAACTGAATTGCCCTTGCTCGAAGCTTTTTCTTCTATGACCGGGCATCGGATATGAATTTGGTGCATCATCCAACAATCAGGAGTCGGACACGAGGAAAGACCTCAGTGAAACTGCAAAACCTCGAGCCAACCAGAGCGCAACGATCTGTCATGCGGTGGAGACCTTCTTGTTAACACACTTCGCATCCCCATGTTTGCAACTCTTAGTCGACACATTCCCTTCCAAATCCCGCTCCTCCGAGCCCCTCCTCCCCCTCCCCTTCCGACCCCGCGCCGGCCTCATGCGCTTCAGGCGCCGGCCTCGGCAGCCTCCACCTCCATCTGCGCCTCCACGGCCCTCTGCGCCGAGCTGAGCTGTTGATGGTCACGGAGCTTCTCGAAGCAGGCCTCCGGGTCCAGAACGCGAGGCCCGGATGGTGCAACCGGTGATGTTCGGGTGGAGGTCATTCGGTGAGAATCCGGTTAGCCATGAATCAAAGATCACTCCATATGTATATTATATATATATATGGCGCATCTGATGCCCTGCCTGAAACCTTTTCCATCCCAATTCCTACTCGAGGTATGCACGCAAAAGACCGTGCATGACGTGTGTTCTTCTCTGTCGGGCTCTCATTGAACCCACTTCCTGAGCGAACCCCTAAGGCCCAGTGGAAATCCTGTATAGCTTATGTGTCATATCAGCATATATCAAAACTTCCATGTAGAATCTTATGAGCGTAGCTGGATACCAAACCCCGTTCTTTTTTCACCTCCTGCTTCGTTCCGGGCATTCCCACGTTCGGCCGAGCCGCCCAGTTGTAGTTCTTGAAGCTCTCCACCTCTGTCTCGGCCTCCAGGCGCGCCTGCACCGCCTGCCGCAGCAAGGGCTCGTGCTCCGCCGCCTGGAGAACGAAAGCGATCCCCGCTCGGAACGTGTCGTTCGGCTTTTTCTCAGAAGAAAGTGTCCATTATGGTCCATGTGCCGCCTCTAAACTGCACCTGTCCTTTTGGGGCCGGAAAACGCATTCAGAGCGTTCCAAGAGAGCAGATGATACAGAATCTTTGAGGGGTCTTTTGCAAAACCTGAACTCGCATCCTTCGGACTCGCTGGCCATTCGACCGTCGAAGTAGTCAAGCCGAAGTCGCCGTTTGACTCGAAGGATAGTTTTTTTCTCATCAGGTTCTGAAGTCTACGCTGCCTGTACCAGGAGACCCTAAGGGGTGCTTGCAGACCAAAAAGCCTATCATCCCGAAATGGACGGAAGAGTCAATCGGACAACATGTCTTGAATTTGAACCTCGTCCGGACATCCATCGAATGGCTCCCAGCAAAAAAGGACCCGCATGGAACCATTTCCATTGGACCTGCAAGGAAGACCCTCTTCGTCCACCGTGGCCTCAGCGTGCGCCTGGCTCTTGGCCGTCTCGGCCGAGGCCCGGAGCTCCTGCGACCACGCACAGTCCGCCGGTTCCGCCGGGCTGGGCTGCGAACTATGGAGGAGCCAAGACGAACACCTCAAAAAAGAAAGAACTGTGCCGTTGACCAACATGATGAAGCCAGGGAATGGAAGATGCTGAAATCGAGGTGTTGGTCGTCCATGCGCAGCTTCATCCAGCAGCCTGTCTTGCGAAGATGCTCTTTTCTTAGCATGACGGTCAACTGCTGAGTTGCTGGGTGCGGAAAAATGATTCAAAATTCAAAGGGTGTCCTGGAACTCCTATGTCTCATTCCGTTTCTCACTTGTCCCAACGGACAAGAAGATAGGCCAGATAGGCACAAAACCGCACTGCAGAAATGCTCCAAAGCCCGCTCCTGAGCTGCTTTGTACTTCTCAGCCTCCACTTGCTGCTGCTCGAATGCCACTTGCAGCTCCTGCGTTCACCAAGAGAATCTGCTTCAGTGCCGCCAAACCACGAAAACGTCGAATCTCAAAGCAAAAGACGCCGGCGAATAGAGACTTGACATTGAGCTCGATACCCAATCAACAACCCTCCACTTCCCCCACCCACACTTCCCCAAACCCAACAACCCCCCCCAAATCCTTCTGGGCCGTCTCCACCGCCTGCGCCGCCGCGGTGGCCCCTGGCTCGGACGCCAAAAGCTCCTCCTTCAGGGCGCTCAGGCGCTTGCCGAGGCCCTCCGCCAGCTGCGCCACCACCTTTTCCGCACCCGAGACCGCGGTAGGGCGACGCCGGGACGAACGGAGCGCTTGCGCGATCGGATCTTCGAGGGACCGTCGCAGATCGCAACATGGCAGACCAAAAGGCCAAAGAAGGCAGAAGGTCGTTCCAAAAAGGAGGGCGGAGCCTTTTTCTCTCTATCCCACCTGACTGTGAAAAGAAAAATAAACAAATTCCTGACTCCAGAAACCAACTCACTGCTGAAAGTTCTCCTCGAACCCCGAGCGATGAACCCTTCTCCCCGCATCCGAGCCACCATGGCGTCAAAGGAACCGCGACTGGCCGGCTCCTTCCTAGGCGGCACTCCGGTCCACCAGACGCGCACGAGACGCGCACGAGACGCTCGTCCGAGACGTCCAACGGGACGCTACACGGGACGAAGGGCGACCAAAGATACTCTGAGCGGGGAACGGGCATCGCAAGATACGAACGGGGCGGTCAGGGCCTTACTACGAACGGAAGAATGTTCGCTATTTGAAACCAGAAATTGTATACAAAAAGAGACCATGGTCTTTTGCAACTCACATACTCCTGACCACCGGCCACTCCACTCCACTCCCGGTCCAAGGGTCAGGATGGAGGTCGGCAGCGCCGTGAGGAGTGATGCTTCAAAGCCAACCTGCTTGGCCAGGGATTCCAACTTCCCATAGTGGGCCTCTCTGCTTGGCCAGTCCACAGGGGAGAAGGGAGGGGCAACACCGCCCAGGCCATGCGCCCAGGCGGTCGATGTCTGACCATCGATCCATTTGGGAAGTACCACTGGACCGGCCGTGCTTGCGACTCCAACTAACGACAACCAGCGGAGTTGAGATCCAAACTGAGTGTAAGGGACCCTCACAATATGGGCGAGTCGTGGTGCGTGCCTCTTATTCCATTTGCATGTGGCATCAATCAATGGCGACATGTTGTTCTGGGGAACTTAACCCGTACTTGATCTGCAAATGGGGGGTGAACCCTACCCAAAACAACATCAATAGAACTTATGTCTCAAACGGAGCAGATATGAGCAGGTGAAAAAAAGTGAACATCAAACCGTGTGAAGAACAAAACTGTGCGAATCGCATCAGTGACGGGTGGATGGCCATCTGACACAAAGATTCCCTCCATCTGGCGGGAACGCCGCTCAGGTTCCAACGACCTCCATTTCGGTGTAAATACTTCGAGTCTTTCGGATGGTCGAAAACCCAAATCCCTGAAACTGCTTGGCCCCGATGGAGGAGTGCTGGGGCCGCAAGACCAAGAGCACCCGATGGAAGCGGAGAAACGGCAGCGAAACCGAAGCCAATTGGCCACCCCAATCCAAACAGGCTGAATCCAAAAGCCTGGCAATGGCAGGCCGTCCAAATAGCCCAAAAACAAGAAAAATTTGTGAATCCAAACAGGCGTTGTTCTCTCCATGCTTGGTCCACGGGTGTCAACCAGGCCTGAGCTTCCTGCCCCTGGACCTCACCGTCACACAGGAGACGAAACCTCAGGGCCCAGGTTGAGCCAGTTGCAAAATACATCGCATCAAATTGGCATAAAAGGTGTTGGAACAAGAGGTGATTTTTGTGTAAGACTGAAGAATGTAGAAGATCGGAAAAAAATAAAATAAAACACGTGTGAATTCCCGCAACCACCATGCAACAGATATGTTTATTTGTTAAATGAAAATGTGTTTTTGATGTCTCAGAATCATCAACGCTGCCCCAGTTCGATGGTTCCACCGCGATTCAATCATGCACATATTCTTTGTGGGTTTGAGTGTGTTGCGGATTGGTTGTGCACGAAAACTGCAACTTTGGCTGCGATGATAGGCGACACTTCCAAGTGCAAAAGCAACTCCATCCATCTCCCCGTCGCCAAGGTGCTCTTCGGCCAAAACAGCCCTTGGATGAACCAGGATAACTCCCGGCCGGGGCCCAGGGAATGCAGTTGCTGGTGGTGACAGTGGAGGTACATCGTTGGTCAAGCCGGAAAGTAACCCCCCACATGGCACGCCTGCCTTCAGCAGTAGATGTATATGAGTAGCCGCATCAGCTCTATGTCCATGTCCTATACCGAGCTACGCGAAAGAAAGCCGTCTTCTAGTGGTTGCTTGGAGGGCCAACCACGAACTCGCTGAGAGGGACGGTCTGCACGCAAGAGCTTGCGCAAGCGCTCCGAGGATCCTAGCGTGTGGAAAACACTTGAGCAACAAAGTTCCTCACAACAAGGGCTACTACACACCACCGTCCACAGCGCGGCACGTCCAGCGCTGGGGCTCCAGACACGATAAGAAAGCGCTCAGTTCGGTGAAAAATTGGGTAACACACCCGATCTGTCCTCAAATCGATCTGCCCTCTTTTCGTTCTCCCGGATTGCTGCAAATTAGCTCAAACATTGGTACCGCTTTTTTGTTTGTCACATTGGTACCGCGTTTTTGTTTGTCGTCGTGCGCGCCACTATGTTTTGACGACGAGCAGAAAAACACCTCTTGCCACGAAGAAAACTCAAACACAGTCAGAAAGTTCTATCTGTTCCTACATGATTCGCCGTGTAGGGTATCCAAGTAACCTTTTGGATCATGCGGTTGCAGTATGGGCCCAAAGACATCAGGCTCCTGGAGTAGTTTCCACTTTTGGCAAAAAAATATGTGCAAATTGAAATGCAACTGATTGGCTTGATTCCCTTGGGCTGAGGACTCCTTGTCCCTTTTTTGTAGGCGGGAGCATGTCGTTTACCTGCCAATTCATTGTTGAGATGGTGGAGTTGCTTAAACATCTTAAAGTGTACAGTAGGCGGATTTTTACTTCCGGACGTCGGGCGTCTTCCTGATTTGAAGCCACATACTTGAGCTCAACTCTCCAAACATGACCTGTGGGGCGGAGGATACAACGATTGGAGAGGTGTCTTCACCCAAAACTCGCTACAAATCTCCAGCCCCATTGAAAGGAGTGACCTCTGAAGGAACCAATTCACCCATGTCTTCTCCACCCCACTGCCTGCCATCCACCTCGCTCGCTCTGAAAAATCGAGCCGCTCCACTTGTGCCTTCTCCTCCAAGGCCTTCTCACGTGCCTGAGCCTTCTCCCGCTGAGCCGTCTCGGCACCCGACACCGCTGACTTGCAAGAGATCACCTCGTCGCATTCGTTCACCGATTGCTGGGAGGGCCACGAGGAATGCACAGGGTCCACCGTGATTTTCAGGACCTTCCATAGATGATGTGTGTACTTCGCGCTACGCGATGCCCCAGCTACTACGGTGTCCTTGCGACGAGCAATGCCAGGATGCCAGGAACTACGTGTCCTGGCTAATCTTAATCCTAATAGTGTGCAGAAGCGAAACAAGCAAAAACCAAATATCGACTGAGAGACGATATTGCTATATGGTCCAACGCATATCGTCACCTAGCGCGTAATTTTGCTCTTCGGCAGCACCAACCAACTTGATCTAGTTTGTCTGTCTTTGCTAGTATATAGCTTACCGAATTCAATGGAATGAACTTTCATTGAACTAACTCGATGCATGACTTGTGACACCTACTCTAAAACTTACAGTAAAGCAGGTTCACTTGTTGAGTGCATCACGAGAACCACAGACATCCATCTGCCAATATATCTCAATCTGCGGGGTGGTATCGATACTCGTCCTTCGGGATGCACCCACCGTTTTGTTGCTGTTGCTCCAGGGTCCAGTCGACCCTCAGGATACTCCCCTCTCCCAAACCCACCGTTGACCCCACTAGAGGAGACGCGAGAGTTCTCCCACCGTGGCCCGAGGGGCGGTGCGCGTCACGTCGGCCAAGCGCAGCTTGCAACTCTGCTCGTTCTCCAAGGCCGTGCCCAAGGCCTCCTCCGCAGCGTCGACCTGGACCGGCCGGGGTGGAAAAGCTGGGGTCACACGGATGGGTGAAAGACCTTTCATTAAGCACACATACATCTAACAAAACCCATCGAATCTCGATGCATGCAAGAGTTTGTAGATTTGCTTTTGGAACTTTGAACCACGCTCAATTGACTCTGTCACGTAATGATGCCTCGAGGTTGCCTTTTCCAATTTGGCAACACTGCAATGATGCAGGATGTTTGTTCGCCCAAACTTGCGGTTAATGAGATTCACCAATAGCTTTGCTAGCTCTGTTGCAAGCACCTGTATACTGTATCCAATCCCTCTTTAATCCCTTTTGGATAAATGATGGTTCGACGTCCCAAAAAACCCGAGCCTTCAAACCCTCGATCCCAACCCCCCACCTTCAAACCCGACCCACGTCGCAACCCACGTGAGCTTCACGCGGCGCGCCTTGCTCTGCAACTCTCCCTTGGAAGCTTCAATGCGGTCGACTTCCGCAGACGCCGTGGCCAGCTTCTCCTCCGGTCGTCGTGCCGCAGCGCCGGGGAGACATGGCAACACCCCCCGAAAAAAACGGCAGGTGCTGGGACTCTCACCAGACATCTGCGAGCGACCCGAGTCCCACAGGACTTCGGACTGGCACGGACTCGGTGTTGGTCGCAGGGGTCGCTGCGTCTTCCGGTCGCACGGGCGTCTTCCTTCAGTCCGGCAAGCCTTCAGCTGTGATGTCGGTACGGGCCCAGAATCAGAGGGTCCGGTGCCCGGTACCGTTGAGGTCTTCCCTTCCCATAAATCAACCAACCCACGGCGGGCAAAAGAAGGGGAGATCCTTTTTCAAGGGGAGTTCCCCCGACTCATGGGCTTTCATGATAAGTCATGACCCACTTCAATCTTTCAATCACCTTCGGACTTTTCTGCATTCCAAAAGGATACTTTTTCGCCGAGACCTCTCCCTCTCTTCCTCTCTCTCGCCTCCAACTTGCAAATGACCTTCTGCAAGCTCTCTGAGACCATCTGCACATTCGCCGTCCTCAAGATTGGAACAACAAAAACACCAGCCAGAACAGAAGCTGGGACTCCGCACGTGTCCTACCTCCCAACAACCAGCTATGAGACAACCAGCGAAAGCATAGCCGCGAGCCAGATCCGCGCGGTGGATCTGGACCCGGACGTGGCCTGCTCCACTAGAAGATTGCCCTTGTTCCGTTCGTAGCGAACCTTGTTACTAGTAGCCATGCCAGGAGCGCCCCTAGCTTCTTGCTCCGTTCGTAGCGATGCCCTTTGTTACTAGCAGCAAACGCCATTAGACCTTTCTTTGTTTCTATTAGCGATGGTCTCCAACTGACGAAGGACATGAGGTTGGACCGAAAATCCACTTGGACCGACAAGGTGTTTCAATAAAGGGAAGGGTCCCTGACGCATTGCTCGAAGTAGACCCGTGTTTCAAGTGGCAAAGGTTTGTCACAGTTGACTGTTCCTCAAGAAAAAACACGTCGTGTTTTTGGTGGAGCCGCGTACTTCGGAGCTCATTCCCACATGGACCACCACACACTGGCGCCAGGGTGCTGGTAGGCGTGACGCTGGTCGGCGGGCACACAAAGGCCTTCAGGGAGCATCGCGATCAGCATCTTCCGCACAGAGAGGGGGTCCTGCGAGGGGGTCCCTGCGGGGAAAACAAGGGAGGAAAACTGTTGTGATACCAAGTGACAGTTGTGGTACCAAGTGGCTGGTTGAGGTGCATCTTTGGGCTCAGGTGCAGCAGCCGTGGAGACTACCAGTAGTGGTGTGAAAGGAAAGGAATCCGGCACACAAGAGACTCGGCGAAGCCAGTGTTGAGTCAGAAAACGATGAAGCCGGTGTTTCAAATTTGGACATCATGGAGATTCTTCATGGCATGTTACGCACCTGAGGATAGATAAGCATCTCGGATGAACTCTGTCTAATATAGAGAGAGATGGGAAAAGTAGCTGGACCCAGACGATTGAGGGAAGGTCAGCTCCGCCAACAGGTCAGCCTCCGCACGTTTGGCTCCCCAATCCATCCGAGTCGTGGAGCCGCCGTCGATGCCGTCGTCCGTCGATGCCGTCGTCCGTCGGGCTTCGACGCGTGAGCCCTCCAGTCCTCAGCGACAGGAGATTGAAGCCCCTCCACCACGCCATCGTACCAGGTTTTGCTCACGCCATAGTTCTTCAAGGTCTCCTCCGATTTTCGGACGGCGCATTGGACACAGCGGCACATTGGATTCACCACCGAGGTTCCCCTCGTTGCCTGTGTTGAGATTTTTCTGAACGAATGAAAAGATTCACATCGAGGAATCGAGGTTGATCGAAAATGGAAAAACCTGTCCCGTCCCACTATGGCCTTCAGAACTTGCCGTGTTGTGGGATCCGATCCAAATTCAATAGAATACAATAGACAACGTAGATAGTAGACTCTGTAGACAGGGTTTTTTTGCACAAAAACAAACATGTTCTGGATTCACCCAAGTCCTTCTGCTCTCAGCGGATTCTGAGATGTTCTGTGGTGGATCGCGGTACCACCTCCAGGGAAGGGACCATACCCAAAAGCTAGGACCCTCCCAAAAACTTCTGTCAGAATTCAAAACATCACCTGCCTTCGGTCGCCTTCCTCACCTCCCGCCTCATCCGGTCCCACCGTTGTGCCCCCCCCCCGTCTCCTTCATCTTCTTCGCCTCATCCGTCGCTGACATCGTCGCCTCCGCCGCGCGCTTGGTGCCCCTCTTCGGTGCCATCGTCGCCGGAGCAGCCGCGGTCGCTCGGAAGGTCGCGGAGGGCGCCGGTCGCTCGTAACGAGCAGATGCAATGGCTCCGGGAGTGGTGCTGCAAGGAAATGGGAAAGAGCGACTGGGAATGGTGATCCGGTCGGAAAGAAAAAGGTCTTCAAATGAACATGAATCAAGTGACTTTGCAGCTGAACGAGGGGATCACATCAGCTGAGGGAAGGAACCACCATGCAGCTGCTGAAGGAACCAAGTCACATTCAGGTGATCACCATGATCCCCATTCACCATGCTCACCGGACCCCGACAAACGAACACCAACCAGACCAACACCCAGGCGCCGAAAACCGAAAAAAACGGTGGATCGGTGGATCAGATGACATAACTCAGCCCACAAGACCCCAGCGACCCAAGCAACTGAGGCGATTCAAACAATTCTTTTTGTGACCCACTGCAGCCTAGGTACAAGCACAAAGCAGCATCCTGGCCGGGGCCTGGCCGGTCTGAGACCCAGTTGCATCTTGAAGCACGGCTTTATACTGGAAGTACTCAAACACCTACTTCCCCTTCGCAATCCTTCGCAATTCCTACTTCATTTGCCTCTTTACAACTCTTTGAGGCGCTGCAAGAAGAACTTCCATCAGCACGGCCAGCACGGCCCAACCGCCCAACCTCTGCCGGTGCGGTTCATCAGCACCTCCCCAACGTACCTCTCACAGAGACACAATGCGGCATTCCGCCTAACTATTCTTCCCCAAGGCCTTCTCAGCAAGGACGTTTGCCAATTCTCGGTGACATCAGCGAGGATGGCTTGTGTGACCTTGAACTGTGGTGTTACACAAATGTCGAAAAGTCAGAAGCTGGCATGACACGAGTAAACGGCAAATGTCATTGATGTGCCGCTGTGCCACATTGTTCGTTGCCCACTAGAGCCCGGTTTCATCAGTTGCAGTATGTCTGATATAATTAAACCAAACGCATGCACGCACTGTGGCACTGCTTGAAACCAGGGCGCCTTCCATGCGCTTTCTTCGTGTTCTTTTTTTTTCCTCTTTCTTCGCGCCATAGGCTCTTGCCCGCGACTGGTGGCGTGCACCTAATTAAAATCATCCATGGAAATCGGGCCCCATTGACGCAGTTTGGTCAAAACTCCGCGTCAATTCGCTCACTGCCTGTAGAAATTCCCTCGGAATTTCTTGGCATGGGGTATCACCGTGGCCTTTTTGGCCTTCCAGGATCACGCGACAAATTGCTTTGCAGAAATCGGCTGGGTACTGCTTCAGCTCCGAAGTGCGCCAACTGCCATCTTCGTGCCGTCCAATGGCTGCATACTTCGGAAGGTCAGTCGTCCGCAGCGAATGCAACAAAGCATCATTGTCTGCTGCTCCATTTGCTATCAAAAGGCTGGTGGGCTTGCAAGCCTTCCCACCGTAGTGCCCTTGCAAAAGGGTAACTTTCTGACAGTTGCGAAAGCGGCATAGATACCGGGTAATCTCAAGCCGCCAGATGCTTGGGCTATTCTGGTGAGTGTCCCCATTAGCCGGGTGCTCCAACACACCTGTTGCACCATAGAGCAGAGAAAGGAGCATCAACCGAAATGAAATGCCCAGTAGCATACTACCAACTGTCACTTGTCTGTGTTCCTTGTACGTGAGGTTGTGCAAACCATATGGAAATCCTCTACGTCTCACTGGGCGGGGGCCACCCTGCACGTGGTTCTCTCGTGCACGGGACCACGTCTCGCAGGGTGGCCCCGCCACCCAGGCTCTCAAGATTCCAATGCGCAACGCCTCAGTAAAAAAGTGGAATGTGGTGGGGTTGTTGAGGTCTCCCCACTCACGATCGAAAATGATGTCAATGGACAATGCCATCCACGCATGCTCTTCCATGACGTATTGAACTTCGGGTGCCTGAAAAGAGATGCGCCATGACCTTGGGTCGATAGGCCATGCGGGCTGGGACATCATATCGGATTTCATCGAGTTTGTCTGATTGTCGTTGGAAAAAGTCCATCGCTGTATCTTCCTTGCGTGTGCAAGAGGTGAGGCCTGTCAGAAACCATTCGCTGCTAGCCGACGAAATGAATACACGAAAAACCATAAGATCATGGAGTGTCGTACCTTCTTCATCAGCTACACATCTTTGGCTCCATTCAGCAAAAAGTGTCAGGATCTCTTTGCGGTAAAGACAGGTGCTCAAAGTAGCCTGTCTCAAACGATCCACAAGGGCTTCTGTCCCCTTATAGCTCGAAAAGGCAGCCTGCCACTTCTCAAGCAATTCATCTTGCCACTGTTGGATCTGTGTCACAATCACTGCAATGGGCCCATCAGGAATTCTGGGTCCCTCGGATTGCATACAAGGATCCGGTAATTCTGGGCAACTGGCATTCTCTGCGGCACTGTTCACGCCAGGTTGCCGAGTCACAAAGGCTCCACGGGCCGTGTAGAAAGCCAAACAATCATGACCTCGGTTGACGTGATTGAGAAGCCCTGTACGCCGTGAGAACACCTTTAGACATGCTTCACATGTGGTGCCTATTACGAAATCTCGTGCTGGGGTAGCACGGTCGTGCTTTTTGAAAGCATGTACTGCACATGCAGCGGCTCCTGAGAAAGTGCGGCCGCAGGCCAAACAGTAGTGGTCTTCAGCAGTCAATGCAATTTCCTGGCCAGTAACTAAGCCAGCCTGCAGAATGTCCTGGTAGATCACGCTGCGCCATCCATACCATTCGAATCTTCTCAGGGCAAATGCTTTGCTTCTCGCAATGGTTCTTCGGATTACTGCTTTCCATCTCTTCCCCGCTGTTTGCAGGCATTCAGAGAAGTCAGACCATTCCGATCTAGGATCAGGCAGCTCAAACTCCGGGCAGTACATCCGCATCCATGCCAGATCCCCTTCAACTAGGGTCCACCAGCAGTGTTCCGTATTGATGAGAGACCATGTATGGTCCTCACCAAGTTGGATCAGGTGGTATAGATATCGCAGTCTTGCAACCCGCAATGTCTCACATGCTGGCAAAAGCTGGAAATCGTGAATAATCCGGTCAAGAGGCCAGTCCATCGCCTTTTTCCCAAGCGTGCAAACCCTGCCTCGAGTTGCTGCGTTTGTCTTTTTGTTGGCGGTTGCCATATTGCACAATTGAATACGATGGTTGACAACACCAGCGACTCGAAAAACTGGCGTTTCCTCTCTATTGTCATAGCACGGTTGCAGAAGATCCGTGACCGGTACTGTGTCATAATGTTGTGCGCTGCAGCAAATTTGGTTCGGAGTTCTTTTACGCATCCCACATTTGACTTCGAGCCAGGAACCCAGGTGTTTATATGTGCCCACAACACGAAGTGCGCCCTCCACATAGCTGGATGTGGTGGGGATCGTATAGTCCCGGTGGGCTATCGCTTTGCGTTGTACCAAGGATCCACTTCCTCTACAGTCAAGGATGACCTCTGACTTGCCTTTGGAAAGATTTGGCATCAGACCAGCCACTGCTAACCGGTCGAAGACAAGCCCGGCAATACGGCCAGCCATAGTGACAAGGGATTCAGCCGTCGCAGCACTGAACGAAATTGATACATCATCCGCCCAGATCGGAGCAAGAAGACCCATCCGATCATACGCGCCGTCATGTGCATAGGGGCTAGTTTCCGAAAGTATCTCCACCGTCACCTCTGGATAGTCCGCCTCAATCGTAGTGAAGATGGGGCGGAGGATTCTGTTGAGCGCAAAGCCAAAGGTCAAGTCGGCGAACGTGTCACCCGGGCGCGAGCCTCGTCGACTTTGGGTCAGCGTTGTTGAACCGTTGACTCTGAACCATGTGGCTTCGTAGAATGATTGAAACATCGCTTTTACAAAGGCCGGTGCATCAGAGTTTTGGATCGCAGGTCCTGGCTTCATCATCTCCTCAAACTCATCATACGCAGCTGGGGGCAGTCCAAGACTTTGGAAGAGCTCAGGTACAGTTCTGTGGTCAAGTTCTGCAGCTACCATGTGTCGTCGAAGGAGACGGTAGAATGCATTACTGACATCAATGAAGAGTATTCCAGAACTCCGTGCTTTCTGCGCAGCAATCTGATGGTATAATCGGATGACATGGGCAGCTTGGGTTATAGAAAACCCTGGGGTCCCTCCAATCTGCATTCGGAGCCTCACGGCCTTGAACTCCTTGACAAGTTCTTTCCGAAAAACTCCGCGCAAAGCTTTGCTAATTGGGGAGCTCACAAAGAGGCTCCGGTAGTTCCAAAAGTCAGCAACTCTACCCTTTTTGTGGACAGGTACAAGGGTCCCGCCCTTGTATATCAACGCTTCGCGCATGAACATCACCTGTTTCAGCAAAAGCGGGTAGAGAAGAGTTTTGTCGCTGCAACTGGCGCCCGATGCAGGAAATCGCCCGGCACCCCATCTTCGAAAAATGCCTTGGCGACCTTCGTGGAACGGAATTGATGTTCAATCTGCCAGAAACTGGGTAGATCGTCCCATTCTGGTCTGAGCTTCGGGGTTTTTGCCAAAGAATCACAGAGTGCCATAAGCTGAGTTGGCATCCTGTCAATCCCGTCTTCCTGCTGAGCAAAGAAGGTTCTCCATCGCTCTGCAAGCTTGGCAGACTCAAAGATTGGCTCGCCTAACTCGTCTTCCACAATAGGCAACGGCTGGAAAGGTCCCGGTTTTTTCCTGCTCCGCACTCCAGAGTTGCGCATAGCTTGGTAGAAGTGTGACATCTGCGGTGCATCTTTTGCCATCTTCTCTAACCAAGCAGTTCTATCAGCTCGTAGGGCCCGCTTGAAATCTTTCGCTTCTTGATGGCTCTTGGCTTGCAGCAATGTGGCCTGTGCCAAGTGCCGAATACCTTCCATAAAAAGCTGTGAGGTAAATAGGACATCCTTGTGGCACCACACGTGCAATACGTTGCGAACAGTCAAAGTAGCAATGCGATCACGTACTTGCTGCAGCGTTGATCTGGTTTGCATTCGCGCAGTACGCAGAGTCCACGTTTCATCACTAATATAGCTTTTCCTGGGGCCACGTTTACCAGCTGGGAAGGCTTTAGCCAGGCACCTGACTACTTGCTCTGAGAGTGTCGCGGCGTGTTTTTCAATATCCTCTTCCCATGAGTGA